GCTTATATATGCAGAAAGAGTTTTCTGTTTGGGCACAGTGATGAATGTCTATAATCTCAGATGTATGTCTGTAATCTCAGGAGGCTACTAGAAGATAGCAAGTTAGTTTGAGGCCAGACTTGGCAATTTAGTGAGAGCCTGTCTCAAAAAAGGCTAGGGGTGTAGCCCAGTGGTACAGCACTTGCTTAGCATTCACAAAGCCCTGGTTAATCCCCAGTACCAAAAAAATTAAAAGTTTCAAAAGATTTGCCATGTTGTATGTGTAATAAACTAAGCAATGCGCAGTCAGGTAATCTACCAGTGCCCCTCTATAAGTAGCAGAAGGTTTGGATGATTATTAGTCTTCAGTTTTTCTAGTTTAACTTTTTATAAATTACTCAACCCATTTTTTCCCTCAACCTCTCAATGCGTGTTGTCTGTTTGTCAGACTAAAGCTATGTATTATGAGTTGCCAAAATGAGCACACCCTGATACCTGCCTTCAAGGAACTCGTGTCTACCAGGAGACACGTAGGGCTATAATGTAACCTCGTAGTTCTTTCTCCCACTTAACCGGACTCACAGCGTTGGCCAATAACACTTTTTATTTAGGATTGTTTCTTTTATCTGGAGTCACCACAGTTCACCGAGGCATAGTGCTATTAATACACAGCTATAAAGAACTTCAAACTTCTTCTGCCTTCACATTTGTAACTGGTTGCGTGTTTGACCACAGCCTATTTGCGGGGGGCTTTAGTAAATCAGGACACGGAAATCTTAGCTTTATTTCATTTAGGCCAGTGATGGCAAACCTATGGCATGCCTGCTCTCTGTATTACTGAAAGCTGTAGAAGGCTCGCCATCACTGCTTTAGGTTATAGCCTCTGGGTTTCTTTTACCTTACGGATTTTTGCTCTTGGGCCTGCTGAAGGTGGAAAGGGAAAGCCAGTGCTTTGCAGGCATAAGAAAAAACAGAATACACAACTTCAGAAGGGCCCTGATGAAAAGAAATGTGGCACCAAGACTTCCTCATTTAAAATAATAGCTGGTGCCAGCGCAGGATAGATTCTGTCTCCATACATACAATCTGGCTGATAATCCGAGAACTTTCCTGATAGGATGTTGAGACAAAGTCCCTCACCAGCTCCTGGAGACATTTCTAGATTTAATTTCAGAGGATAAAATAGAATGCTGCCAAAATTCTCAGAAGGGAAAATTATGTTTAGAAATTTAAATGCCAGAGCCAGATACTGTGATCATTCTGTATCGCTCAAACTTTGCTTTTTCAAGATGCTATCTTCAGTGTAAATATAAAGCATTTTCATTGCTTTTTTTAAAAAACTGTCTAAGATTTTAATGTGTTTCTTCTTTGATCCTGACAGTAAAACATCTTTGCTGTAAAGTTGAACTTCAGAATTCCAGTCACACCACAGTTACTGATATGTGACTTAGAGGGTTGGGTCGCAAAGCAGGAAAAAAAAACCCATAAGCACTGAAATGAAATACAAATTGAATTTAAGGAAGGTAGAATGTCAACCTCTCACATGCCACTGAAACTTTTTTTTTTTTTTTGGTCTTTTTGAGATAAGGTCTCGCTATGCAGTTCAGGCTGCCTTGAGCTCACTTATGTAGCCCAGGCTGGCCTCGAACTCACAACGATCCTCCTGCCTCAGCCTCCTGAGTGCTGCAATTACAGGTGTGCACCACCACACCCGGCCCTCCCGCTGAAACTTTGCATTATGACTGATGGAACTCATGGATGAGCCATACTTTAATGTTTTTAATTGCAGGCTTATTAATAAAAGTAAAAATACTTAAAAAAGAGAAGGAATCTTTACAAATGACCCATAATCCTACCATTCTAAGATAATCATTGTTCATTAATATCGTTTTCATCTCCTTTCAGTTTCTTTCTTTATATGGTTGAGGTCATAGTACATAGGCAACTTTTTTTTTTTCCTTTTACATAGGCAACTTTAGCAAGAGAAAAAATAAGGCTTTTGGATTTATATTTGTGTGCTCACTTTGGCAGCACATATAATAAAATTGGATTTATATTTGTGTTCTAAAGGAAATTTGCTTAATAAAATAGAAAGTATAATCTTAGTATTTCTTTGAAGAAGTGTACACCTTAGTGACTTACTGTATAGAATTATAGTTTATATAATTTTAATGTTAATAATACAGAGCCGACCCTCATCCCCAGAAAGCATTGCCACCCTCCAGGGTCAGGACTGTTTTCCTCTCACAGCGAGCCATAGTAGAGCAGTAGCCAAGCCTGCACCGAAAGCAGACACCCAGCCAGAAATACCAGGCAGCAGGTGCTGGCGGAGCACCACAGGGTCTTTCATGTGGGCATCTCGTAAGTCTTTCCTCATCAGCAGTTCCGGAGTGTTTTAAACACATCTCAGTTAGTTTCTACTCTGCCTTCATAGTTTCTTATTAGCAAATATGATTCAGGAAGTAGATTTTATTAAGCAGATAACCCCAGATAAGGACATACTGGGCTTGACCTTAAAGGGCACTTGCAGATTTAAAGAAATGACAGGTCAAATACACTGACAAGTTTATGATAATTTCAGATACAGGAAATCAAATGGAAAAAAATTCTTTTCTACTAAAAATGTAACACCAGAACCTCCCCAACGTGGAGATACATGTCACGTGTTTTTGAGATCTGAATTATGGAGGTCTATCTCATTTTAAAATGGAAGCATTTAGCTCAACGCATAGTTAGATTGCATAGGAAAGTACAAATAAAAAATGACCCTCTCCTGGATGTTTTGCTCTTGAGAAAATAGTAGCATGTATATACAAGTTGTGAACATATAGACAAAATTTAATAATTATAATAGTAAGGAAGTATCCTGGCATGGTGGCACATGCCTGTAATTCTAACACACGGGATGCTAAGGCAGGAGGATCACTGCAAGTTTCAGGCTGGCCTGGCTACATAGTGAGTTCAAGGCTATCCTAAACTATGTAGGGAGACACTGTCTCAAAAAAACAGCAAGAGAAAAGGTAAGGAGGTAGAAAGTAGTCCTGGCAGGAGACAGAGGAGGAAGTACACGAAGTACAGGTGAGAAAAAGTGTGGGCGGAATTGAATCTTGTGGAAATGGGCAAGGCAGTTAAAACAACCTGCATGAGCATACATTGTAAGGAAGTTCAGGGTATCCAAAAGATTATGAGCATCCTTCTTCCAATTCTGCTGCTGCTTTTTTAAGTACCCGTGGGAAAGATGCACGCAAATACATGGAAAAGAATAAAAATCACCCAGAATTGTGTTACCTGAAGAAAAGTTCAGAGAACATTGTGGTGTTTTCTCCCACTCACCTTTTAAGGATATAAATATGTTATAGATTAGAATACAGATTCCTGATGCTGGCTTAGCTGTGCTTGGCTCCTGACAGTTGTTGCTGACGTTTTGAACTGTACTCATGCCCACCCCAGTGCACATTTCCACAAACACTGACAAATGCCCGTGTTCCCCTAATACATTCAGCACAGCAAACCTCCATGGAACCTGCAGAAATCAAGCCATGATTCTAGGTGCCTGACTCTGAATTAAACTCAGAGCTGAACCCCCACGAAAGATGCTTGACTCTTACAGGGCGGTCATTCCAAGTCCGTCTCTGTTCATGAGCTGACAAACAACCGTACGCATCTGAGTGCATCTTCTATAACGTAATGAATATTTCTTGATTTAAAATACTGTTTTCTGCCCAAAATGAAAAATTTCCATTCCCAAGTTTAATGGTTATCTTAACATGCAAATGGTATGAATGAACTTGAAAAAGTACACTGTGCCAAGACAGCATCTTGGCAAATGGCTCCCCAGCCTTTTTCCCCCACTGCACATGAGAATTTTTTCCCTACTCGAAAACTGTGATCACCTTTCTATACCAATAAATATCAGTCAATATACTTCAATTTTGATGCATCCTAGCGGAATGCTCTCCTCCCAGTAGCGCTGAAGGTGGGTGCACTCAGTCTAGTTCTGAGAGCAGATTTTATTGAAATGTACTAGGCAGAAAAGTGAAAAGATCAGAAGTTTACAAGCTAATATACTTTCAAAAAGAAAGCATACTTTCAAATGCAACATTCAGGGAATGTGGCTCAGTAGTAAGTGCTATGTGTAGCATAGGTGAGGCCCAGGGTTTGATCCCCAGCACCGCACCACCCCCCAAAGTGACATTCAGGTCAAGAACTAGAACACGACCAACAGCAGAAGGAGCTACGTTCTTCACACACCCTTTGGTCACCACTTCTGTGGGTGTGACCACCACTCTGTTACCTGTCTAGTCTGTAATTATTTTTAATCTGATGGGAGGGGGAAAGAAAACTTTTTTTGTTTCTGGTTACTTTTCTGAAGTTACTACTTAGATTATCTATAAAATTCATTGTATGGCCCTGATTTTTAAAGTTTAACCTCAGTGAAAAAAATAAACATCATCTGTTTAAGGTTGGGCAGTGTTCAGTGAGTTGCCATAATTGAAAAGAAACAGAGATTCTAGAGTATGATCTTTCTGAAATATTATTTACGTAGAAAATACTTGAGTTCCTTTGGACCAGGCCCTGTGATTCAAAAAATAAAAAGCGTCTACCTTTCTTTGAAGTGACAAATTTGCAGCAAGATGAGTACCTTTTTCTATGGGAGAGTATTGTGTTTATGAGGAGTAAAGCCGTGTGGCTAGAAACTGACCTCTGCTGGCTGCTCCTGGTATAATTTGGAGGAAGGAGCACTACCTAGACTTCCCTGGTTGTTCAAGCCTGCGTGCCTCTAGCTTTTCCTTGCAACTTCTCTTTTCTTTCTTATGCTGTTTTTCTGCAGCGATAAGTAAATTTGGCTCAGCAAAGTACAAGTTTTCTGTGTGACAAGGCCTTTTAAGCATTTTACGTTTGGCTGTTAAAATGTGCAAAAACAGCTCAGCAGGTTGTATCTCATACACAGATGATAAGCGTCCATCCTGGAGCTTAGCACCTGAGGAGAGGGCATAACTGGCTGCTCTGTTTCTCTCCAGGAATCGACAAGGAGAACGTTGAACTCTCCCCCACCACTGGCCACTGTAATAGTGGACGAACTCGCCACGGATCCGCAAGCCAAGTGCAGAAGCAAAGAAGCGCTGGCAGTTTCAAACGTAATAGCATTAAGAAGATCATGTGAAGCTTTCTTTTTTTCATTTTTCAAACCAGCGTAACATGGGCTCTTCACTAGTGACCACTTCCCTGACTGTGCCCCGACCCCATATGTTGCAATGCTGCACTTCATGTTTTATAATGGATCCATCTAGTCTGCCGTGTCGCCCAATGTTCAACTCCTGGAAGCATTGCCTAAATTTAATGCTGCTTTTTTTTTTTTTTTAACTTTTTTTCCTTCTGCTTTTGGTGTGTATCTGATATAAGCAAGTGTTCGGAACAACTACAGAGAAAGTGGGAGGTGAGGAAACTTGAGCTGAGAACACCCCGATTTTGTGAGAGAGGATGAATTCTTGAATACTGCTACTACTGGCCAGCTATGAAAGCCATTTGCACAGAGCTCTGCCTTCTTCGTTTGTCCCTTCATCGTACAAAGTACAGTTTTAGTCTTAGTTACCTACTTTTCAAGATAAGAGTTTGTGGGACGAGTAATATTATAACCCCAGTACGTTTAATCTGATATTTAGCTGTGGACTTTTTTTTACCTTAGAAACTGAAGGAACCACAGAGGTCAGACCACAGGGACTTCACCCCATAAAGCCGCAGGCGAGGTCCTTTGGGGGTGGGAGTAATTAGTATTTTGTAGTAGATTCTTAAGAAATACTAACATTTGAGGATTAGCAATAACTATGGGAAAACAAACGTGACTACATATGTCTTAACAGTACTGAATTCAAGCTGTGGTTTTTGAGACCTTATCCAAACTCAGTAATCTAAACTGGTTTCTTTCTTTCTCCGGTTGATTACCATTTAATCTTTAAATATGCTAACAGTGTTGTCCTTTTGTTTTTGGTTTTTGTAAGCCAAAACTATATTAAGCATAGTAATTATACCTTTTTTTGCCTCTTCCACTTCTTTCCAAATAATTCTGAGCAGGGTAATTAGCAAAGTGCTGAAAATGGTTCCCGAAAGGTAATTTTCTTAGATGTTTGCATTAGCTGCATAGCAAAATGGAATGGTACGCAATTTTTAGAGTAGCTGATAAGTTTATTTTGTTAAATAATTTCCAGGAAACAGAGTATGCTGTATGTCATTGTAAAATTCTTTGATGTATTTTAAAAATCCTTTACTCTTTCCCCGCTCCTTAAAAATATCAAGAATCTCTTTTAAACATTTGGATTCTATAGGATAGAATTGCATCTAATCACTGTGAAAAGTCTGGTCAGCCTGAATTAGTGTGACAGTGGGCGAGCCTTAGAGTTGCTGCTATACTGAATGGTATGGATTTTCATGGCATAGGAATCTCCCCAGTAATGCAGATCCCGTTTCTTTGTGGTACCTGCAGTGCGCAAAGTAATTTTGCTTCAGCAAGCACATTAATATCTGGATGTTCGAATTTAGGACTAAACTCTATTTATTTCAAAAGGGTACACTCCTCCCAGGTTCTCTTTACATGTTAAGATGTAACGGCTTTGGGAGGGGAGAAAAGAAACCGAGGGGAAAGGGGGTCCTGTAGTGTTAGTTCATTAGTGGGTTTCAGTAAATTAAATTCCACAGCTAATTCAGTAAGTAATGGTACATTTAAGTGTTCTCATTAATAATATAACACATTTTACACTTATCCACACAGTAACAATGTAATATGTTAATGTAAATAAAATTGCTTTTGATATTCAGAAATAATAAGAATTTAATTTTTTTATTTTGTTTACAGACCTGGGAAAATTAAGAACCATTTGCCAAAATAAAAGGAAAAAAAAAACTTTAGCATTAATAATGATTTAAACATAGAATTGTTGGAAAATACTGAAGGCAGGTGCAATTAACTAAGCTTTCATTTCTGAATTACTGTAGAGGCTGCATTAGAGTAAGTGTTCCTAATAACAGAGCAGCTGCAATTGTAAAGAAGCTCAGAACTGATGTAGAAGTAGATCGGCGACACAGTGCCAAGGGTGCCGAGCTCCCACTGCGGCCGTGCTTCTGGGATGTGGTGTCACAGCTTCTCGGCTCCTAGAGCCGCAGGCAGTGAGAGCCTTTAATAATGTTGGTTCAATATTTTTACTGTTTTTGTTGATTCGGTGCATATGATGGTGGGGGTAGTGCGTTTTTGCTTCTCCCATCAAAATAGAGAAACTTCCAAAGGTTTACTATTAAAAATATCGACCTTTCCATAAACAAGTTTACAAAAGTATGATGTTTCTTAAATTATTTCCCTCTGGTGTAATGAATGAAATGAATCCACTTGAAGTACCTCATGAAATGATCAGCGTTGCACAATTCAGAATTGAGCCTTCTTTGAACTGCAAAAATACTTTTGACCAGTATGTACTGAAAGTGTACTGGAATTTGAAAAGTTAACTAAGGTTTAGAATTCATCTTCTTTAAAGAACTTCTAACTTTTGAGGGAAAAAAAAAAAGCTTTCCAAATGAAATGAAAATGAGCTAAATCCCTCATCCATATTCTTCCCCTGAGAAATGAAATACTTTTTTAGTCCTTATACTTGTTCTACATTTCCTGTTTTATATAATTTGATGTAAGAGCTGTCATTTGTTTTAGGTTTGTAGATGTTTCCCCCGACTTTAAAGAGGAAAACAATAACTTGGTCACGTTGTTGTTGTGCTCCTGTTCCGGGCTGCGCTTCTTTGCCAGCACGGGTACAGGCCCCTGTCCTCCGACGGTCACTCGTGCCGGCTCCTTACTCCCTGAGCCAGGCACCAGGACACCACCGGGGACAGCCAGCCTCTGCGCCATGGACTCAAGTCCTCATGGTGGGAACGGAGGATGAGCTTGCAATCCTAGTTTGTGTGTTTTGGGGGTTTCCAGTTTCCTTTGGGGTTTTTGTTGGTTTTTTTGTTTTGTTTTGTTTTTTTGTTTTTTTGTGTGTTTTTTTTCTTATTTTTCTGTTTTGTGTTTTGGCTTTTGTTTCTACTTTTACACATTTTCCCACCCCCCAGGCATAATGAGGCATGTCTTATTCGATATTATGCAATGGACCTATACAAAAATTCACTTAGTGTCAGCCACACCATTTTTTAATGCAGTATATTCACCTGTAAATAGTTTGTGTAAAATTTGACAGAAAAGTATATTTACTACACTGTAAATACATGTGATGATATATTGTATTATTTCGCTTTTTTTGTAAAGCAGTTAGTTGCTGTACATGGATAACAAAAATTTGATTATTCTCGTGTTAGTACTGTTAACTTCTTCCTACGACTGCGTTACATCATTTAAAGAAAATGCTGTGTATTGTAAACTCACATTGTATATGAGAACTTACCCTCCTTCCCAGTGGGCTAAACTTCGACAGTTCCTTGTCTATAACCTTGTTCATATTGTAAGCAGTTGTATGCCAGCAGGAAAAATACTGCCCAACAGACAAGATCGACCACTGTAGGGGAAATTCATAGAAATCTGTCTCGGACCATTGTTCCCCACTCCATTTGCGTCCCGTGTATGTACTCCCCTCCCCCTTTTTTAAAGTAAAATGTAAATTCAATCCACTCTAAGATGTGAGAAGTTCTTTAATTTTTTTCACATGCATCAAGTTCTGTTTTCTGGTTTTCCCCTTCCTCCCTGATATTTTGACATGAAGGCCGCTTCCTTTCTTTACAGGATGTTTTCGGGGCTCTTCTTCCCCTCACCTACATGGGAAAGATGCTTCTATTTCCAGAATGTCTCTCTAAAGTAGTTTTGGTGAAATGTTCTTTTAAGGCCTGCCAAACTCAGGGATGACTCTAGTCTCCTAGGATAGGCTGGCCTATTTTTACATAAGCAGTCAGCTAGAGACGCCAGGACAGCCCGCGATCGAGCCGTCAGAGGGCATGTGTTAGGGCCCCAGTTCTCTAGCTTCTCACGTCCCCCTTCAAGATCTTCTGTGACACCACGTGATGTAAACGACCTCCACTGGGTTTCGCTGTTTTGGTTTACCCCCGTTATGTGGGCTACCTGCCTCCTCCTAAGGGAAGAAGAATCAACCCTAGAGCGCAGGTGAGCAAAGACAGAGCTCTCCTCAGAAGGGCACCAGTGTCCCTGAACAAAGGCCTAAAATAGATGTGAAAGACACCTGCAGGCCGCAGCAAGTGCTGGTCCCTTTATGGGAAGGCAGGGGTACCCCGCCTGGCGAGCTTGTGGCTGTTCTGGGCCCGTCCCAAACAAACCCCACCCCCAGGCTAGAGCACCCTTTGCAAGGGTGGGGTCCTGTGAAAGCAGGTGTGTGGTGAAGGCTTCTCCGCAAGTTTTCTGGCCACCCAGGTTCCAAGAGCACTGGAATGGAGAACTGGAAACTCAGATAGCGCAAATAGCTTTTTTTTTTCCTGTAACCTAAATCATCTTACTCAAACTGTAGCTGCCAATTTAAAACAAGCCTTCGTGCAATGTTGATTATGTTTCCATAAATATTAGGGCCATACTATAGCAACATAATCATTGTTGGTTTGAAACTCACATTTTGTTCTCTTATAAGTGCTGGCTAATCATAAGTGGAAGTTTCATAATGTAATGTGGAACTGTAATTTTAATAAATAGGTCTGGCTTTTAAAAAAAAAACCTTCTAAAATTCCCTGTATATTGTGTTTGTACATATATCTTAAATGTGCACATATGTGCATATTTAAGGTTCTCCTACTATGAGACCCTTAACATGTTGTCTATATCTGGGACAAAAAGCCAAGCAGGTTGAGATAGAAAGGATTAAGCCTCTGGTTACAGGGTTCAGAACTCCCCCACCCCTCCCCAGGGGCCACTTCCTCTATGTAAAATGAGGAAAACATGGCCGAATCTGAATAGGGCCCTTTTCTGTTTATCAGTTCAGAAAGCATTGCCTAACTTAACTACTTCTATGGAAAGAAACTACAGATATATCCTGTGCTGGTTGTAGTCCTTGGTTCATATCTATGCCTGTGCCAGCTATTGCAGGTACAAAACAAGGAAGCGTGGCCTGTGACCTCATGATTTAGTGGAGAAACTGCCACAGAAATGTCCCAAGGTATGGAGTAATTAGGGCGGTGTAGCGTGACTGGCAGAATCGGTAACGGAGTTCCAACTAGAAAATGCCCTAGAAGTTAGTCCAAGTGTAGATCCGTCCGGGGATCTGTTCCAGGTAGGACTGTGGAGCCTGTAGTGTGTAAGAGGTAGCTGAGGCTATGGAGAAACTGCCAAGTAGAGACATGTCCAGGCGGAAAGCAAAGAGCTGACTTACGTTCTCATTACGCTGCATTTGTTTTTCCCGCTTTGGGGATGCCGTCTAATTTCCCACCTCTAAACATGCGTGGAGGCACACCTTAGCCCAAGACCACAAAAATAGCTGTGCTTTTTCTGTCCCTGCAGTTCTACATGTTTTGAGTCTGGCCTACAGTCAAAGTAAAATGAGAAACAGGGCAGCAGATGTTTCCTTACAGCTTGGTCATTTGTGGATGAAAGGCAGCGGGGAACTTGATAATCCGTGCCTTCCGCAGCAGCTACCACCGCTGCCCGTGCTCACATCTAGGAGACCAAAAAAATCATTACTAAAATAAGTCTCGTGAGTTTGCAGTAGTCGTCACTCAGCCAGCATTTCTTGGGTGTCCAGTTTTCCTGAGTTGACCCAAGCATGAAAGTCTCCTACAGTGCTCTGATTTCCCACTGGGGTGTTGAGGGCGTTCTCTTGCTTTCATAACAGCTTCTCTTTACGGCACTGCTGTCATCCACCCTCTTCCTGTCGACCTGGTTGGTTAGACTGCGGGCTTCTGGGGGTGGGAGGTAGGGTGGGGAGACAAGGCTTCCTTCAGAAGTATTCAATACATGGTTGCTGAATAACACATAAGGCTCTATCTATATTATCAGGGAACTATACAAACAAAAAAATACCCCATCATGATGGTATCCCCAGTGGAAAATCCCGAACAAAATAGACACTACCTGTGTAATAGAGGTCTCTTAAAAAGGCGTTAACCTGGAAGAGGGATGCAGCTCAGTGGAAGACCCACTGTCTGGCATAGATGGGGCTCTGCGTTCAATCCCTAGCACTGCAAAAAAGAAACTTTACTCCAGGCTTTGAGATTTCACTGATCAGTAAGATTTCTGAAATACATTCTGTCAGCTTATGCACTTAGAAACAAGCAACAGCCACATCCAAAAAAATGTGCTTGGCGGTACTGGGGACTGAAAACGGAGCCCTGGCCCTGAGCTACATCACCAGCCCTTTTTTATTTTTGATTGTGAGACACGTTGTCACTGAGTTGTCCAAGCTGGGCTCAAATTTGCAATCCATCCTGCTTCAGCCTCCAAGAATGCTAGGGTCACGGGCGTAGGCCATTATGCCTAGCTTGTGTTTTGTTTTTATGAGAGGCCATGTTGACATCAAAAGAGCAGAGAGGGCCGGGCATGGTGGCGCACACCTGTAATCCCAGCTTTCGGGAGGATGAGGCAGGAGGATTGTTGTGAGTTTGAGACCAGCTCGGGCTACACAGCTCAAGGCCAGCCTGAACTGCATGGTGAGAGCCTGTCTAAAAAAAGAAAAAAAAAAAAAAAAGAAAAGAATAGCAGAATAGAGTGTAATTCTTTAAAACTACTTATTTTTGCTTTATAGAAGTCCCAGGGTTGTCCTTGTTTTCCCTCCCATTGCTGCTGACTCTGCACCACACTGCTCGGCAGACAGACGTACGAGAGCCGGCTGCAAGGAAACCCAGTGAATGTGCTGTTGGGAAGGGTGGGTGTGGCAGTGTGGCACTGCTTCCAGGTGAATGTCCTGGTTGAACACAATTCCAGTAAAAACGCAGCAAAAAGTGAATATACAGACAATGATCTGAGTCTGCCTTAGAGAATAAACAAGAAAGCATGGCTAAATTAAGGGCGTAGTTGAGGAATTTCCTTATTACTAAAATATAGAAGTGTTTTATTTTCTTGGGTTTTTGAGACAGGGTCTCATTACATCATTCAGGCTGGCCTTGAACTCACTGTGTAGCTGAGGCTGGTCTCAAACTCAAGTGACCCTCCTGCCTCAGCCTGCCAAATGCTGGGATTACAGTCGTGCACCACCACATCCAGAAAATGTTTTAATATTTGAAACTATGATGGGGGTGGAGATGTAACTCAGGTGGTAGACATGTGGAACTACTCATCCCTATCACTCCAGCATGAACCAGTCCCAGCACAAGGTGCCCGTGGATGATTAAGAAAAGTAAAAGAGAAAGACAAGAAAAACAAGAGAGACAATATTCTCAAATCAGGGGGCTTACAGCCTCTCAGACTGCTGCCCTCAAATGCCAGATTCAGACAACCTTTATTGAGGGAAAACCAAGGACATAGCTAGGACAAATGGGCGGATACCAAACATTCCAGCTATGATAATTAAAGGATCACCCAAGACTTGCCTATAATCCCAGCACCCAAGAGGCTGAGACAGGAGGATCGTAAACTCAAGGTTAAACAAATCATTGTGCCCTCGGTGCATTCTAATCAAAGAATGTCCTTCTCCACATTTCCCCCTTTTTGTTTAGCTGCAACCCTTTGAAGCATCAGCAAGAAGGTTGCTAATTGTCTTCCCATGTCTCCACGTTCACTGGATGAACTTTGCCATCTTAAGAGATTACATCTTGTTATTAACTTCTCTACTGGATGTCCAAGACCAAGTTAAACTGAGACTGTAAAAAAAAAAAAAAAAAAAAAACTTTAACCTTTTGCTATCTACCAGTGGTCAGTTAAGTCTCCTCAGGAAACACCTTGGACAAGTGCAGCATCTCTTGATCTACAGTCAGTGTCAGCCATCTGGCTGAGTCAAGGCCATTGCTTGACCAAGATGCTTTCTGTGAAAGCCTGAGAGATTTTTTCTCTCCTGGTGACTCTCTTTTGGTACACTATATATCGCAGAATCACTTTCCTCTGTGGTCCCATAATCTCATTGATCAGAAAATCAGGGACTCAACCGAGTTATAGGATGTCACAGCAGAGGTTCTCTTAAGTCCTGAGTCTTTACTGACCTCGGAGGGCATAGCCACAATATTGGCTGTCCTTAAGCCCAATTTATCTCTCTAATTTATGGTCTCCAAACCTCAGTTGTTAATGTATAAATCCTAATAGAATGTTAACAAACAATAGTTACGTATTTTTACCCAGAAATTTAGAAATCAAAACCATACATAACATTGCTACATGACAATCATGATGACATTTTGTGACCTACTTAAATTTTCCTTTTGACATCACATGACCGATAATCTTATACATAAGAAGCTGTTGCTCTTTAATGGGCTACACATCACATGTTTTTGTTAAAGGTAGAGGTCTTAATCAGAAGGAAAGTCTTATCACTATAAACTGTCTTTGTTTTACAGTTTGGAAAATCTGTAGATTCAGAATCATGAACACATTAACTGAAATACTTCTTCTGATGGATTGACCCAATTATTGGGGTGTGTCTCAAGAGACTATGGAGGTCATGGGGGAGGGGGGGGCTCCTTATTAATGAATAAAGGTTGGCCACTCCTCTATTCATCAATTGGAGTTCTACCCAATAATTTCTTTGCATCCT